TGGTGTGGAGATGGTACCTCACACCAATCACATTAAATCAAATTGACAAGAAACATTCTAAGCAGTGCTGGAGGGTCTGTCAAGAAACTGGCACATATATACACATGTGGTGGTCTTGCAAATATGTTCAAAAATTTTGGGAAAATGTATTTCAAGAAATAAGAAGAATAACCCAAATAGAGATAACAGGAACACCGGAGATAGCACTGCTGTCATTTATTGACAATGTTAAAATACCAAGCGAACTAAAAGAATTAGTTGCCAATCTGGTACCAGCAGCAAGATTATTAATAGCTAAAAAATGGAAAGAAGGAGGGGAGTGCCAATTGGAAGAGTGGTATAAGGAGATCTGAGACATCGCAATAAACGATAAACTGACAGGAAACATTAAGGTTAAAAGAGGATTATCCAAAAAAAAAAGATGATTTTGGGAAGATTTGGGGGAAATTGATAGAATATGTATATATAGAAGGCAGGGCCGTAGCCAGAAAAAAATTTCAGGAGGGGTTGAAATTTGGGGGGGGGGNACTGACAGGAAACATTAAGGTTAAAAGAGGATTATCAAAAAAAGATGATTTTGGGAAGATTTGGGGGGAAATGATAGAATATGTATATATAGAAGGTAAGGGGACCAAACCTGTAATAGAAACAACTGATTTTTGGGAATAATTATTGTAATTGGCTGGTCGGGGGTGAAGGGTTAGCACTGGGTGATTGGATGTAATGAAGCAGGAGAATGAAATATTATTGGTATCAAGACATACATGTTCTGTACAATTGTTAATGGGAAGTGATAAGTATAAGAATGTTTAAATACTGAATATGTTAAAGCTACAATAAATAGAATTAAAAAAATAAACATTAATAATAAAAAAAATTAAAAAAGAAGCACAGAACCCTAGTGAAAGTGAAAACCACAAATAAAAAATGTTATTTTTCCGTACTTCTCCAGGAACACCTCAGTAGGAATTTCTGAGTCTTTCAGCATGGGTCTATGGTAAATTTCCACTAGAAGCCAGCCATACCATTACATTACATAGGAGAATCTAGAGATTCCTAGAGTTGACATCTCTAGAAATCTCTAGGTCCTCAAGCATGATTCTGTGGCTGGCTTCCTCTGGAAGCTGATCATAGAATCACATTGGAGAACCTAGATGTTCCTAGAGAAAACATTTTTAAATCAAATCCATGCAAGTCAAAACTGCAAATGTGGAGGGATAACAGTAGACATAAGTGTGTATTGTTTGACTTTAAAAATCAAAACAACTCCATGCAATTTGGTAATCATATACAGTTTTCAGAGTATTTTATGTTATTTGCACCAAGTATTATGCCACACATACTTGTAATGACATTCTGTTTTACTTTAGTAATTTTAAAAATGAAAATCAACACATTTTTCACATAGATTCAGTGTGATATATAACAGGTACATTTTTGCACTTTGATGAAAGAGACCTAGGATTAAGTCCTCAGATGGTCATGAAACTCACAGTAACCTTGAGCCAATCGCTATCTTTTAATCCAGCCTCTTTCACTTGCTTGTTGTGAAGATAAAATTAGGAAATCCTGTAGGAAATGTGGAATTTAAATGCAATAACACAGGCATTAGATTTAGGAGTCTTTGATTAATTTCACTCTCCAGTGACAAAAATCTAATAAATATAATGTCTTGCTGCCTTATGGAAGTAATATTAAGTAAGATGGAAAGAAGTGAGCACTTTGGAACATTAATGTAATTAAAAGGGGTTGAGGAGAGTTGAGGAGAGAAAATATGAGCTGCAGCTGTGCTCAGGTCAAGAAAGATACCTTTTTAAGGATTCATGCAGAGTGTCCATGTGTTAAGAGACAGTGTGTACCCATTAGTAAATTACTCAAACACAGTTTTCAGCTTAAATACTGAAAACCGAAAGGCTAATGAAAATGACCAGTTGTGTCAATAGGTTCCTTGCCAAATTCATTCAAATACTACTGTGCTACTCCCAAAAGAGCCAGCAGGTGGTAGCAATCCTGCTCTATGTTTTTTTAAAGGAGACTTCAGCATTATTCTTAAATTATTTAAATCTTACAATCTCCTTCTCCCTCTAGCCATGCCATCTACCACTGCCTTTTCCACAAAAACAAAACAAATCAAACTCTGTTCTCCTATGATCTATCATTGGGCTTGAATGCAAATTTGAAGGTAGATCAGGCTTTATAGTGTGTTTCGGAGCCCCCGGTAGCACAATGGCTTAAACCAGGGGTCCTCAAACTATAGCCCAAGGGCCAGATATGGCCCTCCAATGTCATTTACCCGGCCCTCGCTCAGGGTCAACCTAAGTCTGAAATGACTTGAAAGCACACACCAACAACAATCCTATCTCATCCGCCAAAAGCAGGCCCACACTTTCCATTGAAACACTAATATGTGTATATTTGTTAAAATTATTCTTTATTTTAATTATTGTTTTGTTTTTAAGTGTTTTTTGTACTACAAATAAGATATGTGCAGTGTGCATAGGAATTCATTCATTTTTTTTTCCAAATTATAAGCCGGCCCTCCAACAGTTTGAGGGACTGTGACCTGGCCCTCTGTTTTAAAAGTTTGAGGACCCCTGGTTTAAACCCTTGTGCCGGCAGGTCAAAAGTTTGAATCCAAGGAGAGCATGGATGAGCTACCTCCATCAGCTCCAATTCCCCATGCGGGGACATGAGAGAAAACCCCCACAAGGATGGTAAAACATCAAAACATCCAGGCATCCCCTGGGCAATGACCTTGCAGACGGCCAATTCTCTCACACCCAAAGTGACTTGCAGTTTCTCAAGTCACTCCTGACATGAAAGAAAAATCATGCGTTTCTCCCGAGCAGCATAAATTCTTGTGTGTCAAATGCTATTTCACAAATAGATACACACAATTTGTTCTGAGTTCCTGAGAGAAGCATATTGGAATTGTGCGGCCATAACTTATATACACTGTGTGCCAACCAACACATTTATGATTCAGGATGAGTTACAGCAAAGCCTGTGTTCAGGATGAGGTCCACATCATGTGGCATTTGCTATGCATCAGATGAGCAATAGCCATTGGAAGTGTGTTCATTTATAAACAAGGAATTTCCACTTCCATTGAATGGAGGCAACATCAGGCTCAAGGGCATGCTTTCTTTAATGCTGTGGTTCTTTCACATCCTGAACCTTAAAAAGAGGATTCTTCAAACCATGCAGCAATTTCAAATAAATCAAGTTAATTAACTTTGAATTATAATCTGTATGTAATCTTTGTGCTGTATCATGCAAAGATAATAACATTACACTTAAAGGAAGCCTTAAATTATCTACACATTGATAATAATAGCAATCAAGGAAATTAATTGGCATTGCATTTTTAAAGTAATTAGTAGATCAACCTATTTCCATTTATCTTTAATTAATTGCCTGTGGCAGGAGTTGATCATTTGGCAACATCAGAGGCACAATTCACATTAAAGGAATTGTTAATACAGATTGGTTTTTTTAAGTGCTTAAAATATGAGGCAACTTTTTTTCTTATGAAACATTAATTATCTCATTATCATATAGATGCTGTCTTAGAATTTTGGATGGAAAATTTGAGCAAGATAGTGATGGATTCTGAATGGATATTCCCAATACTTAGCTGTTTTCCAAACAAACAAGTGCATGAAATGTTTCATTGAAGTGCAGAGAGGGACAAACCAGATATTAGAGTTGAAGATGTGGTGAGCTATTGTGAAATATTCCCCAAATTGATAGAGGTGTAGATCCAGATATTTTTTGAACTACATCCACTTGCATGAGAGATCCTCCCACACACCCGATTTCCATCAAATCCTCTCTTGCTGACACACCTCCCTGTTCTATAGGTTCCCTTGGCCTATAGACTAAGCGACAGTGGTCACCAGCTGGAGCACCCATGGTGTCTGCTCTAAAGATGTCCATGCTACTTTATAGAGTGCTATTTGAAGAGCTACATGAGGATAAGTCTTTGGCCCCTTCTACACTACCATATAAAATCCACATTATCTGCTCTGAACTGGATTATATGAGTTTACACTGCCAGATAATCCAGTTCAAATCAGGTAATCTGGATTTTATATGGCAGCATAGAAGGAGCCTCAGTTTAAATTAGCCCTGCATTCAAAGGGCTCTCTGTACTGTGTTTAGTTTTAAAGTCAAAGAACAAAAAACTTGACAAAAAGAACAACAAAGGTTCGTTGTTCCTGGATACAACCTTAATATCTTCAACTCCATCATACAGATTGGGCCATAATATCTCATCCGAGTTTTAGCTGAAGCCCTGGGTTTACTTGTCTGCTCCCTTTATGTTTTCCAAGCAGAAATTTATTTGTGGGGTTAAGATTTTCACAACTACACATAACATATTTTGAAAAGAAATGATCTGTAATTATTAGTTAAATCTAAACTTTTTTTTAAAAAAAGGCTCCAGTAAAAGTAATATGCTTTTTGTTGTTCTTCAAGTCATTTTTGACTGAAGGGAAGACTATTGGAGGATTTTCTCAGCAAGATTTGTTCAAGGAGATTTGTAATCACCTTCATCTGAAACTGGGATAGTTTGATTTGCTCAAGGTCACGCCCTGGTTTCTCAGAGTCCAAACCAACACTCAGACAAGTACACCACACTGGCTGTCTACAAATAAAATGATACAAACTTTAACTGGAAATTTCTGTGATCTTTAACATTACCTTTTTCATTTCTAAAAAAAATTGATTGGGTCAAAACTAGAGTTTGCAAGAATGTAATAATTCATTTCAAAGTGTAGGACGTACCATAACATTATATATTTTTGTTCATGTACCCAACAAATGTACTTATTTGTTTCTAATCTGGACACATCATACATATGAGGTGTGGAAAACCTGACAGAACTGTCAAGGTATGCAATTATCAAGATTTATTGTTACTTCTCTCTCTCTCTCTCTCTCTCTCTCTCCCTCTCCCTCTTCCCCCCATTCTCTACTCTCTCCACAATCCCTGGAAGAGCCATCTGCCGAAAAAACAGTAACAGGTAAACTAAACAGTATTTTTCTTCCCTCAAAAATATTTAGCAAACAGAATAATTCACCATGAAAAATTATGAAGGCTGACATATCCAGATCTTCAGCTTATATAAATTGGCATTATCCAGAGTTCCATGAAAAATGATTAAATTGATTCCACCAAGGGATTTGGCTCAAAATGTCATGCTTCTCTTTCCATCCTTTAATTTGTTCTTCAAGGATTCTAGAATCCAAAATTGCTTACTTGGAAATAAATACCACTGAAATGAGTGGTATTCTGGTAAGCACCCATGGGAGGGTGGGCTTGGTTATATTGGTGATTAATGCTGAGCTGTTCAGAGCAGATAGCTCACATGCTGGGAGGCTATGAATGGAAATGTGTTAAAGTGAACTGGGTGATATCACTTTTGTGTGTCTGGCAGGCAGGGGGAGAAGAACACTTCTAAGGCAGATTGCTGAAGAATCGCTGCTGTTCTCAGCAGGAAATATTGGAAAGGCGCAAATGCCTCCAGCACAGCACCTTGGTTAATTTCAGTCTGTCTCCTTGTATGAAGTCACACTTGATTGACTCTATTCTTGGAGGCCTGAAAAGGGGATGCTGAAAAAAGACATCACATGTATATCAAAATGTTTGTTATACCATACAATAGAGATCTATCACATCATATATGGGTGCAAAATATAGTATCCCTTCAAGCCTCCAGCCATACTCACCCGTGCTTATCCTGTTTGAGTGAAACAAGACAAGTGCTCTTTTGTGTGGGTTTGTGTGTCAACAAATAGGCAGCTAACATTTAATCCTGATGATTTGGAAATCTTTTTAGGCAAGAAGAAAGCGGAAAAAGCAGTGAAAGAAAAAGACGGTGAGGACGGGAAACCTTTTATTTTAAATCAATATGTTAAAAAAATTGACAGTCTACCAATCCTGCTGCCACCACTATATTCACAATGTGGCATTATGTAAATTGATTTTCTTCTTTAATCATAGTTTCTTTACCCATTTTTGATCTCTACAGGAAAAACAATGGGGAAAGCTCTTGTCAAAAAAGAGAAGTCTAAAGGTAATATCTATTGCTATTGTGTGCCATCAAGTTGTTTCCAAATAATGAAGATCCTAAAGTGAACCTATCATGGAGTTTTCATGGCAAAATTTCCTCAGAGAGATTGGATCTATACTACCAGTTCAAAGCAGATAATCCGGACTCATAAACTTGATTATATGTCAGTGTAAATGGGGCCTAAGACTCAGAGAGCATGACTTGCCCAAGATCACCATGTGGTTTCCATGGCTGAGTGAGGATTCAAGCCCTTGTCACCAATGTCCTAGTCCAACTATGTTTTCAAAGACCATGAGATTCAGAATAGGTCTCCACAGACTCTCGCAGACCCACCACCAAGACTCTGCCCTTGGAAGATAATCATACAAGTGATTGCCTGTAACAAATAAAGTTCAACTCTAGCCATGTTATCACACCAGGGCTTTAAAGTGGGCAGCCCCACATTTCTGCTGCCTGCACAATTCTGGGAAATGTAGTTTAGGATGGGTCCTTTTGAATTCTCAACTACAGATGTCCTCATCTTCCCAAACTACCTTTCCTGGAATTCTGCAGGTGGCAGTAATGCGGGGCCGCCCACTTTAAAGTCCTGGTATGACAATATCTGTATAAAACCCCATTACCATACTGGCTCACAACAGTATAATTGTGCAGTCCATGAATCAAGGAGCTCATTACTCATAAAAGCAACAGCAAACATCTGGATTGTTTGCCCAAAAGCAAATTAATTCATTCTCAGCTCAAAAAATACTTGATCATTCACTAAGTTGGCTGGGTCTTTAGGGAGCTGAAGTCCAAAGCACATGGGACAGTCTTTGTTTGAGAGCTACATAATTAATGTAAATGTTTGTTTAAAATACTTGTGCTTTATATACAGTACATTGTTAGTCTGAAGTTCTATTCATGTTGTTGGATGAGAATACATGTTGCTTGATATTTGCAGATAACAGTAGGGGATTTAAATTATTCCTGAATCAGAATTACTAGTGAGTCAGACAGCTATGATGAGCAAAATCAAGAATTTTTCTTTGAAAAACGTCACCTAAATCAAAGAGGTTTCTCCCCCTCTGGGATATTCTTGACCTGCAATACTATTTGTAATGACATTAAGGAAGGTTATTTTCTCTGTTATGAAAATAGGGGAAATATATATTTTACTCTGTATATTTTCTTATTACAAGAAAAGGAAAAAGAGTCTAAGCATCTGTTTATTATTGTGTGCCTTCAAGTCTTTCTTGACTTATAAGCAAACCCTATCATGGGTTTTTTGAGACTGAAAACATCTGTAGTAGTAGTTAAATAAACTGGTTGAGATCCTGGATAGGAAGACATAGCAAGAACTTCCGTTTGGGTGAAACTACATTGTCTCCCCTCTTGTAGGTCTTACCTCATTTTTATACCCTTTGCAGGTCTAATAATAGCTGATGTATAATGATGAGTAAAGAAAAATCTGGTTTTGCCTGTAGCTACATAACTATATTTCTGCAGCCATACAAAAACATTATCATCTGATACCACTTCGAATATGTTTTTTGCCATTGTGAGTCGGACACTTTCTCTCCACCTGCTGCTCACCAATGGCTACTAGAGGCAGGAGCAAAGTTGGTTTTGAGGGAATTGGGAACTGTTGCATAAGGAAAGTAGTAAATACTTCCCTAGAACATCAACAAAAAAGGAGGAAGGGGGGAGGAGGAGACATAGTTCAATAATTCAGAGGTGTGTGTCACTAATATGATGTGAACCTATGTTTTATGTGGGGATACTTGCCACCTTGTCACATTGAGAAATTTCCTAATTGTAGGACACTTCAGCCTCTTTTCAAGCATGGGGAGGCACTGAGATTATCACATGAATTAACCTACTTCTGGCTGTCATGCATAACCCTCCATGGTTGAAAAGAGGTAGAAGTGTCCTAAAAGGAGGGAACTTCAGCAATCCGACCTCATCACATTGAGAAATGTGCCCCTCGTAGGACACTTCAGCCTCTTTTCTAATATGGAGAGGCATGGAGCTCATCACATATTCCAGGGTTGAAAAGAGGCAGAAATGTCCTGAAAGGAGTGAACTCTGAACATGGGCCAGCAATCGTGTGCAGAGCTACTACCTCTTATTGCACTTTACTCCCATCACTACAACTAAAAAACAGGTGAGATGGGAACCATCAAGAGTTTCCCATCATGTTTTATTGCCAAACCATTAGCAGTCTTTTGTATATTATGGGCTTTGGTGCAGAACCATGGAATCCCATAGAAAGCAATAGTTTTAACCTAGATCACTGTCTCTTGTATCCTATGGGTTTTGATTTAAAACCATAGGATCCCATGGAAATCAATGGTTTTAACCTGGATCACTGTTTCTTATAGCCTATGGGATTTGATGTAGAACAATAGGATCCCATAGAAAGCAATGGTTTTAACTTGGATCACTACCTCTTCTATCCCATGGGGTTTGGTGGATCTCATGGAAAGAACTGGTTTTAAACTGGGTTTCATCTTTAATGTAAGGGGCTTTGAGCAGGGTAAGGGATCTCTTGGTTTTCAGATACTCTTGCTTCTCCTGATTTTTTTAAAGGTAATACTGACTTTGTGATAGATGTAAGATGAATGTATTGCCAGCTCTTAAGTTTCCACATGTGTGTCTGATGGGGAGGCAGAACTCCAAAGGAGTTGATTCTCTCCCTTAAAGGGCCAACTATCTCCCTTAAAGAAAGGATTGCCCATGGTTTCCCTTCTCAATGTGATGAGATAGCAGGACTCCTTTTATCTTATCACCATGATGGATGTGGTAGTTTTTCAATTTTCTCTGTAGTTCCAATGAATGTAGAAGTAACCTCTTTCGGATTGTAGGATGTCATTATACAGATAGCAAATATTTCATTAAATGAAGGTTGAGCACTGAACTTTCCACTATTCTTGACTACTTGCAAAGCAGCAGTGAAAGAAGCCATTCCCCCAAATGTTAGACAGTATTTGTCATCACCACTGAAATACATAGTATGTCAAACATCAACTGGAAGTTAAGATGATAATGATAATAATGATGGTGATACATTTATAATAATTAATAGAATATTACTTTATGTGATTGGTAAAAGTAAAGCAAAAGTCTGATTATACTGGTATGATTTAAATGATAAAATGGATGTTTGTAATATAATTTAATTAGATTTATCTGTTTTGCTCAACAGTCCCAGTAATCAAAGAACCCCATTCCCATCACAATGTCACAGCAGGTAAATGAAAGGATGATGGTGATGATGGTTGTTATTATTATTACATAAAACGTGAGGGTGTTTCATTTGGGGGAGGGGGGATTTAGGTTGCCATCAGTTTGCTCTGTTATGCCCAATTGTTTATTACTTCTATGTACCCTGTGTATATTTCTTAGACTCAAATAGGAGTACACATGATTTTCAAGGGCACAAAAACTCAAAAAAAGTTCTGAAATCCAGTAGAAATTAATGGGATTTATTATTCATATCCATTGCCATGAACAAATAAAACTTTATTTTACTACTGATTGCAATAATGTCTTAGTATGTCCTTCAACCAAGGGTAGTTGATATTGGCCATGTCCTTAGCTTTAGCTATTTCCAGTTAGCTTTGTTCCATCCTCCAAAATGGTGAATATTATCTTACTGCTCTAGTTCTTTATGGGATTTCTGCTTACATGAAAAATCTGAATTTATTCACTGTTGGGAAGTACAAGAAAATGTTGTTGGATTTTATCTTGCAAAACATTAGCCAATATAAACCTTGGCCATTTTGCCCTGGGGGTTCTGAGATAAGTAGGTTAAAAGTAAGTTTTTCAGGCTCTGATTTAAAATGAGAAGATCAGTTATCATGGAGAAAGAAAGAAGAGACCTTAGGATGATTATAACTGTGTCTTTGGTGGCTATTAGTCATTTTCAAATACATTTTGCAATGACACTGATAAAGAACAATGTGTTTTCTTAGATGTTCAGCTATGCAAAAAGACATTCTCAAGTCATCTTGTCAAATATGTTGTTCAAGGACATCATTGTTCACAGCTTGATCACTGCTTGACAAATTTAACTGAATTAACATAATCAAAATGTGTATTAATGAGTAAAGAGTAGCAAATAGTTCTGTTGCTGTTCAGATTTTGCCTCTGACAATCATTTTTCTTTCCTTACAGACAAAACGTCAAAACCTGCAAAAACAACAAGTAAGCTCGGCTTAGGGTTAAAGGCATTGCAAGCCTCTTTGATTCGCAAGTGACATATAGTACTTGTCAGCATTGTACAAAACTGTAACTTGGTTATCAAAACCGTTGTTATTCATTCCATCAGGCTGAGAAAGAATGAGTCATTTGCCCTTGAAAGCTGGCCTGTGGGGAAATGTTATATGTTTTCAAGCTCAAACCTTAAATAAGAAAAAGTGATCCTGATGCTCCTGTGTTATGATTGAGAAAAGATGCACTGACACTGAATGGGAGTTGAATAAGAGATTGTTGTTCACCAAAACAAAGCATTTGGAAGCTGGAAGCTGTTTGCATAAAAAAGCTAGTAGGCAATTTAAGCCCTGTGGATTTCCATATGCTAAGACTCCAATTATTCTGAGTTTTGCTCTTAAAATTTGGTAGGATTGCAAGTAGATAAAAGTAAAGAAATAATCCAACAGAAACAATGGTATGCTCTTCTCCAGAGCTCCTCATAAAACACCTTCAGAAAACACTGTATTGCTACAACATGTGATTCTTCTATCTATTATCCTTTAATGTATTCTGTTTTTCTGTAATTTGGATAGTAAAGTGCATAACTGTAAGCTCACAGCAGCCGCTCCCAGAAAAGACACAGGACGCCAATCCGTAATCAATCAGGAAACCTTTACTACTGGAAATGCATACACAACGAAAGCCAGGATTGGCATACAGCCGCAGGTCAATCCCTTTTATACCCTCCCTCACAATTGAATCTCCCTTTCCCGCCAGCCGAGGATCCCGCGCAATGTTCCCCGCCAATTATCAACTGTTTTCCCCCAAGGCCACCAGCTGCACATTCTTATCAGCTCTCCGAGTCAGGACGCGGGTTTTTTGCGCCAATGTCCGAGGCCAGGAAACCGAGTCCTGACATGACGTCCCCCTCCTCCTCCTCCTCTTCCAGGAAGGGGGATACATGTCACTATCATGTTCCTTCTCTATCTAGTGGCCCTTGGTATTTTTTTAACAAGCTGCAATGGAACGTTGGGTGTATCTTTCCCAAAACCTTTG